AGGATGAAAATAAGGCATTTATTCATTATCAAAAATCTGCTGAAATGGGAAATGCGATTGCAATAAATAATATTGGAGACTGTTACCAAAACGGAATAGGAGTTGGAAAGGATGAAAATAAGGCATTCATTCATTATCAAAAATCTGCTGAAATGGGAAGTGCGAGTGCAATATTTAATATTGGACACTGTTACCAAAACGGAATAGGAGTTGAAAAGAATGAAAGTAAGGCATTTATTCATTATCAAAAATCTGCTGAAATGGGAGATGCTGATGCAATAAGTCAAGTTGGATATTGTTATCGCCATGGAATAGGAGTTAAAAAGGATGAAAATAAGGCATTTATTCATTATCAGAAATCTGCTGAAATGGGAAATGCAGATGCAATATATAATGTTGGATATTGTTACCAAAACGGAATAGGAGTTGAAAAGGATGAAAATAAGGCATTTATTCATTATCAAAAATCTGCTGAAATGGAGGATGCTGATGCAATATATCAAGTTGGATATTGTTATCACCATAGAATAGGAGTTGAAAAGGATGAAAATAAGGCATTTATTCATTATCAAAAATCTGCTGAAATGGGAGATGTTGATGCAATAAGTCAAGTTGGATATTGTTATCGCCATGGAATAGGAGTTGGAAAGGATGAAAATAAGGCATTTATTCATTATCAAAAATCTGCTGAAATGGGAAATGCGATTGCAATAAATAATATTGGACACTGTTACCAAAACGGAATAGGAGTTGAAAAGGATGAAAATAAGGCATTTATTCATTATCAGAAATCTGCTGAAATGGGAAATGCTAGTGCAACATATGAAGTCGGATATTGTTATCAATATGGAGTAGGGATTAAAAAGAATGAAAATAAGGCATTCACCTATTATCAAAAATCTGCTGAAATGGGAGATGAGAGTGCAATATATCAAGTTGGTTATTGTTATCGAAATGGGATTGGAGTACCAAGAGATTTGCAGAAAGCTGATTATTGGTATAAAATGTAAATAATTTATTCACCTACTTATTTATTTTTTTATAGATAATTGTAATTTTATAATATTCTTTTTCAAATCATAAATAGGGAAAATGATAAGAGATTAGGTGATCTAAATAATTATTATTCGATTCTTTTTTGAAATCATTTAAGATTTACTAATTGATATTTTTTAGATGCGAATGGCTTGATGCATGAAAATTTTGATATTGATGATGGTATAAGAAAATTATTGGTTGAAGGAAAATATTCATTGTCATGGATTTCTTATAATGAATTCAGAAATATTAGCAAAATAGGACAAGGTGGATTCGCAACAGTATATTATGCTGAATGGGACGACAAAAAGCAAAAGATCGACAGAGGTGTCGCGCTTAAATTACTTCACGGATCAAAGACTTGTAATGAAGAATTCGCTAAAGAGGTGATTTTTATTTCATGCATAATATTAACTGCATTTATAATTATTATACGAAGTTTTTAATTCCTCTGCATTACAATATTAAAGTTAAAGGCGTATTGTGATATTAATTCTAGGCACCCATCATTTTTAAGATGCCGTGGAATATCAAGAGATGATATTTCTGAAGATTATATTATCGTTTTAGACTATGCAATGATGGGATCTTTGCGTCAAAATCTTCATTCAATAACAAGAATAGGCTGGAAAGATAAATTAACCTTATTACATTGTATTGCTTCTGATCTTGAAATAATTCATTCGCAAGGTCTTATTCATCGAGATTTACATAGTGGCAATATTTTGCAAGATAATTTACATAGTGCATACATTGCAGATTTGGGACTTTCAGTGTCAATAGCAAAAAATGCAGAAAAACGTGGAGTTTATGGAATTTTACCATATATCGCACCAGAAATTTTGAATGGAGGACAATATTCGACAACATCGGATATTTATTCATTTGGCATTATCATGTGGGAAATTTTATATGGAAGATCAGTATCGTATAATCAGGAGTTTGGATCACAGCTTCAATTTGAAATATGCAATAGAGATTTGAGACCAACGATTGTTAATGATACTCCACAATGTTATATAAGCCTAATGAAGAAATGTTGGGATAAAGAATCAGTAAATCGTCCATCAGCAACAGAAATTTGTAATATCCTTACAGAGTGGCAAGATGATGAAAAAATTTTATCAGAATTTACTAAATCAGAAGAAATTTTGAAAGATATACAGCGTACACATATACAAACATATTCTGATGATTATAAAAGTAAATTTATTAATTATACTGCATCTTTTTATCAAGGTAATTATATTTAACCACATTTTAATAAATTAAGTTTATATATTAATATTAATCAAGGATAGTTTTCTCTCCGTTAATATATAATTTCTGAGTAAAAATATCCTGATAATCATCTAATTTCAAATACAGTAGATAAAATTAGAATTCTACAAATCTGTAGAATCAGAATAACCAAATTTTTATTGGGATAATTAGGTGGTGGTTAAATAATTTTGCTCAAGTTTTAAAAAAATTTAAAATTTTTATCGACATAAACTATGCAAAATGTTTAAAACTTAAGCTTCAAATTAAATTCAAGAAAATTTTATTTAAATTTTATAAAATTTTAAATTCGGATAAAATTTTATTAAATTGATTAGGTGGTTTTTAAGATAACTTGCTTAAATATTCAAAAAATTTTATTTTAGTGTAGTGCGAATACTAGCTAAATATTGATGAATTATATAATAATAACCAACAATAATTAATATAAATCATAATTTTTTTTTAACAGATAGTGAAGTGAATGAGTTGAGATTGATGAGTAATACATGAAAGGCGCTCTGATATGACCATAAAGGAGGCTAGCAACAAATGATGGTAAAGAAAAACATTATGAATTGTTTCTGCTTTGATTATTAAATTCTTAAAATTTATTATATGGGCTGTAGTACTTATTTAATATCAGGAAAGAATATGTTCAAGAATAATAAAAATTATTAATTCAGTAAAACAGTAACCTTTACTACAATGTTTTTATATACTTCAATATGAAAGAAATGGTTCAATTTTGTTTTTTATTTTTTAGAAGTAACAATTGAAATAATGTCTTTAAAGATTGGATTTTATTGTGTAAACGGGAGATTCAAGATCTAATTAATTTCCACATAAAAATGTAAAGTTATAAATTTTTATACCGTTATTTCGAATTTTAGCCCAATTAAGACTAATTTAAGATAACATTCTAAATCACACCTGTGTGTTATTCTGCAAGAATATAGTAAGCTAATCTATCATTTGAAAATGTTTTTTTTAGTAATATTTTTTAAATAAAGCAATTTTATTTAATAAATAATTAGAGTGCTTTTCAAATTACTGTGGTCATCAAATTTCATACATCACACGGGAATCTGGGAATCTGGGAATCTGGGAATCTGGAATTTAAAAATTTAAATAAATATAAAAAATTCTAAAATTAGTAAAAATTTTATTTTTTCCAATTTAAGCAATTTTTTTTATGGCAGATGCAGAGAATACAAAACTTAAATATTATCGCGATACCTGTTTTGCATGTCGAAAATGTCTATATTGTGTTGCAGATTTAAGTAATGAAACTTGCAAATGTAAAATATCCTTGGTGCCAACCAAGAAAAACAGAACTAGTTCTATTAAACAAGCATATACACGGTGTTATGAACCTACTTGGGTTGCACCCAAATTTGAATATATTTATAAACAAATTATAGAACATAATTATAGAATAAATTTGAAAAAATCTTTTAAATTTTCTTTATGTAGCCGATGTCATAATGTCTTGGTAAAATTGAATTCTTTGACAACTAAAGAAAAATCAAAAATACAACAGCAAAGACAGATAATACAATTATAACAAAAATTGATAATACAATTGCAAAGACAGATAATACAACAGCAGAAACAAAGACAGAAAAACAGATAATATAACAGCAAAAATAGATGATGTAATTTATTTTTATATTATCTAATTATATATTATATAGACTTATTTTTATATTTATTTGTTAATTTATTTTTTTTTTAGAAAAGAATCGAGTCTTCCTCACCAATATCCATTATCATGAGTGAAGATACAACGGAGGATGAGATAAGCAGCTATGAAGAACCTGAATTTGTACAAAGTTACAAATTATTTATAAAATTGTCAGATAGAAACCTATTACCCACCAAATGGTTTGAAGAACTTGTCTCAACTATAGATGAATTTTTTTCATCTATTTATGATAAAGTTATTATGTTAACCAAAGATACTAATATTTTGCCAAATAATTATTGTGTAACCTTTAAACTGCAAAGAGAAGCAGGTGCTGGCACTCAATTAGTTGATGCACAAGATTTTAAAAAGTTTAAGGTTGAATATTCCAAACTAGCTGCAAGACAAAATAATATTGAAATCTATATTACAATTGCGCAATCTTATATTTCTCAAAAACGAAAAAAAAAGGTTTGTTATACAAATATATATATGTATATATATATGAGGATGTTTAAAATTCTGCACATAATTGTACAGATTTTTGTAGCTGACCCAGTCAGTACTATCAATATTATTTGGTAGAATTATGATATAACTTAAACAATCATCAATATTCAGGAAACAATAAGTTACATCTCAAACTCTGTATTCTGCAAACTCAAATCATAAAGCTAACAACTGCAGAATTCTAGACATCCTAGTACATATTAAACAATTATAATGTTACATAAAATATACAATTTAAAAATTAATGGCTTAACATTAAATACACTTTGCAGGAGTCAGATTTGGATAAAGAAGATGCTGAAATGCCTAATTATACAAAAAAATCAACCAAGTTCCAAGGATCTCAACTTTATCTTTACATGATAAAAATATTGCTGAAAATGTGTTAGAAATTCAGAAAAAATATCATTGCAATTTGCATAATCGTCCTTGTTTTAATGGAGAAAGTTGTAAAGATCTGCATGTTGAAATAACATTCATGATGCTTTCTATATAGGCATCAGACATGGTATATATACATATTAGACTAAAAATTAACAACTTATTTATAATTTTTTTTATTTGTATATCAATATGTATACATTTTTTTAGAATAAGGAATTGGCTACAATTGAAAGTTCTCCAACATATCCACTTTTTTCTCATTCAAAAATATCATCCAAGAAGTTTTCACAAGTCACCCCATCACAGGAAAAAGCATCATTGATTTCATTATTACCAAAAATGCAAGCATCACCACCTCAAACAATTATATCACTACTTTCACATTTGCAAGTACAGGCACCAACAGTTTTGCCATCATTACAAATCCAAGCACCATTAGTTCTACTAACACAACAAATTCATTTGCTATTAGTTTTATCACCATCACAACCAGTGTTGGAAATCTGGTTTAAAATTTATGTTCTCATGAGAACACAATTATTTAATTTAATGTTCTCAAAAATATTTTTATGTTCTTAATAGCAAAAATCATTGTTATCATTTTTTGAAAATTTTCAGATAATATTGATAATTTATTTAAATTTTTATCTCAACCTTGTTTGTCTTTAATGTTTGTTCATTCTTTTTATAGAATTTTTAAAAGTTTATTTATTTTCTAATTGTTAACTTAATTTGTACTATAATATATAGAGAACATATTTATCAAACAATATGTTTTCAAAAATTTTTTTATAGAGAACATGTTCAAAGTAACAAATGTTCTTAAATTCAAAAGTATGTTCTCTTGAGAACATGAGAACATTAGATTTCCTACACTGATCACAACTGTCATCATTACAAGCACATGCACACAATTGGGTTTTTGGTAGAGTTGTTAATGAAGTAGTTTGCTCCAGAGCACTCCAGAATAGAACCCAACCCAAGTTGGAGTGGGTTTAAATTTTTATTTTTAAGTTTGGAGCAACCTGGAGCAACCCGGAGTAGCTATGGAGCAACCCGGAGCAAAATGCTGGAGTAAGTCTAATTTACTGGAGTGGGTTAAGAATTGGATCAACCCAACCCAACCCAACCCAACCCATTAACAACCCTAGTTTTTGGATCTCAATCATATCAGCCTTTATCTTCAAATTTGTATAATCCATATCAAGCATTATCCTTACATACTCAAACTATTCAACCTAATCTATATATCTCTTTTACTTTACCTACCATGGCAGAGTTTTTAGGAGAAATAGATGAAAAAGAAAAAACAGACTACTATTATCAAACTTTTTTAGAAAAATTTGAAGAGCAACGAATTTTGGTAAAACATTTACAAAAATTGATGAATGAAGAACTCGAACAGTGTGGGATAAATATTATTGGTGCATGGCAAACTCTACATAAATATGCTGAAAAATATCAAATGCCAAATAGGTCTAATTTTTGTTAGCAATCATATAAGAATGTATCTATAGTAAATAGAAATATATTGTTATAATTATGCATTAAAAATTGTACATATTTCTATACTTAAACTTATTCATTTCTATTGCTTAAATGTATTTGACTAAATATTGTGCTCTCTAAATAATGATACCACTAATAAAAGTAATTCTATTGTCAACTTTTATTTTAAACAATTATGTAATCAACAACAATGAAATATATCCTTTATAAAATCAGTTAACTTCAAAAAAATTCTGGATTCAGCCAATGATCTTTATGTGAGTAGGTACTATTTTATAATATTTATCTGAATGTTCATTGTTCTAGCATTCTAGTTTTGAACTAGAATTTGAAAGAAAACCCTGACCTGTCAATAATCAAATCAGGTGTATATATGACTTTTTGAAAGTATGTTTATTTACTTGTAAATTTGTAAATTTCTTCAGTATGTCTTATTCAATATTACTTATAATTACTTACTTGTATACTTGTGTTCAGTTTATAGTATGCATTTGATGCTAAATTTGAAATGCTAAAAAGAATATAGAAAAGTTAATTGAATAAAACATAGGTCTATTTTATATTACTTGAAAATTTCTGAATTATTATTGAGCTTTGTGTTTATCTTAGAACTTTCTTTCTGTCATCAAGACTCTTTTATAACTGCGATAGAGAATGTAATGAAATTTTATATTTAAAAATTCAAATATCAAAAGAGAAAGAAAAACATTTAGATATAACTCGAGCCAATTATAATGAACAATATTTTGAATTTGTAAAGAATGTATGTATTTTCCTATTTTATTCCTATTTACCAAATTTGTCTTTTAATGAAGCATTTACATCATAACTTTCATAGAGGTCTGCATGGGCTGGGCCAAATTTTAAAAATTTTAAAAACCTCTCAAAATGGCAGGTCTGGTGAGGTAAAAACATAGTAAAAAGAGGTCAAACTTTCAAAAAAATAATAAATTTTATTTGACCAGCCATGTGGGCTAGCAAAAGTTTAAATTTATAGACTTGTGCAGGTCCATAGCTTTATATAGGCCTTATAAGGCACGTAGATAGAGAGGAAAGTGCTAAAAAAATTTTTCCCATCCTTATATTTGTTGTGTTAAAAGCCAACCCAGTAAGTAAATTTTCTATAATTAAATAATCTGGATTATCTAGCTTATACATTCATTTATCCAGATATATTTATTGATTTTGAAATCCTAAAAAATTACAATCCAAAGCAAGCTATTATTTTTTAAGTTTGGAAAATCTATTATATATGAGTACTATTTTATTTATTGAGAATATAGGTAAAAGCATATACTATAGAATAATTATTTTAAATTATATAACATTTTTAAAATAGAAGTATTACTTGCACATGTCATAATTTATATTTTCTTCATTATATGATTGTTAATTGAATTATTTATTTAAGTATATGTGAGATTTAGTATTATTATATTGAATATAATATTCACTTATTTTTTTCAATTCCAAAGCTATTTATATGAAAAATATATCATAATAAGAAAAAAAGTTATAAGGATATAGTATGAATGCAATTAGTTTATATTGCAAATATAATTGTACATGATAGATATCCAACAGGATAGCTGTAAACATGAGTAATAATACTAGGTTGTTTTTTGTACAATGTATAAAGTATCTAAGCACACATAATAACCTAATTACAACAATTGAATTCTAACAAAATAGAAACTGCTCAATGTTTTAAATATATAAAATCTAACCTAATATCAATAAAATAATAAGTATTATTTGTATTCTACAGCTTCAATAAGATTTTTTGCAGTTTCAGATGCAATTTGCACACATGCAACTAACAATGGATATTTTGGATCATCTGAACTCTCAACAAAATAGCAATTTCATTGTAAGTATTTTTTGATTAAAGAAAATGCTTTCTCAATCGGGTTGAGATTAGGTGAATATGGAGGAAGGAACTCTACACGCACTCCAAAAGCAGTCAAATATTCACATAATCCATCATTATGATGAATACGTGCATTGTCTAAAACTAAGATACTATTAGAATGAGGAAACAGATTCATATGAGGTAACTGGATGTACAAAAAAAAAACCATTTTCATTATTTACAACAATTGAATAACTAATAATTATATTGTGCCTGAAGTTAGCAACTTTATAATAATAATACTACGTATACTTACAATCTGATTTATAATAAATTCCTTAATATTCAGTTTTGTGTAATTACTTTCAATAATGTCAACAGTGATCATTTCTTGTAAGATTAAAGCTGGGCAGATTGTATACCTTCTTCCATATATAAACACTATCTTTTTTTTTGCCAAGGTATTTATTGTTGAATACCTGTAATCTCTTGATATGGAGCATTCATCCTTGGTGAATTCATTTACAAATACAAATTGCTCAGACCAATAGTATGCACCAACATGTGCCATGTAAGCACTTCTTACAAGTTCATTTCGCTCTTTTGCTTCTTTATAGAGCTAAATAATAAATTTTTATTAGTTCAATATTATGAATTTAAATACTATACTGCATTGATTTAAAGATCCTCTTTTTATTATATTCCAATCTAAAATACCCGAATGCATTTTATAAGCTGTTAATTTTTTTTTTGATCTGAGTCTTTTAACCAATTCAGTACAGTAGTTTGTTAAAAATTAATCGAACTTTTTTCGAGTAATGCCACAATAGGCTAATGATCACTATAATGTTGAAACTGATACAGATTTGCCTGTATACTGCTCCATTTCACAAACAAGCTTATCTAAATACCAATCAACCTTTTCTTTAACAATTTGTTGTAAAATCTAAATTATATATATAGTCATTATTAGAATAAATATCAAATAAAGTATTGTAATAAAACTATGTAACATACATTCATATCATCTCTGTTAAAAGTTTTTTGTAACCCAGGAACCTGATGCCATGGATGAATAACAGTTTCCCATTTTTGATATATTTTTAAAATTTTATTTACCAATAACTTGCTTATATATAACATAGATATAATCTCCTTTTTAAAATAACCATCATAGTGCAAATAAATTATATGCCACTTAAGGTCTTTACTGTAGAAACGTGGCATCTAGTAAATATATATAAATTTTTAAAAAAACTTAGAAAATTTTTTTTTAGTACTAGTTATTAACCAACTTTAAAATATTATTTACTAATAGATATTTATACTAGAGATCAGAATAAAACAAGAAATTTCTTGAATTATTATTTTTTTAAAATATATACAATTTTTGAGATAATTTAGAAAAACAATTTTAGTACTACTTATTAACCAGTTTTGAAATTTTGTATACTAATAGATGTTTATACTAGAAATCGGAATGTGATGAGAACTCTTTGGAATTATTATTTTTATAAGTAGAAATTTGTAAAAAATAAAGAATTTAAAGGAAATCTGTAAATTTTCGCATGATGGATAATCATCAGATAATTACAGTAATTTGAAAAGCACTATAATATCTTTGTATGTGTGATTGTACTGAAACAACTGCTGCACAACTATCTTATTATATAGAAGTTGGTTTAAGTCCAGAAAAATAGCTAATTACTTGTAATATAGTATACAAATATTCTATTACATTTTAGACAATAAGATTTTATTTGTATTCATTAAAGAAAAATATTAAAATAAATAATATCAAGAGGATCAACAGCCACTCTGTTTTGTACAAATGCTAGGTAACTTATAGAAAACAGACTTAGTAAAAATAAACATTATAAAATACTTAAAACAAACAAAATAGGGGTTCTTACTTGGTTTTATTAAAATGCAAGTTTTTTACTTTGAAACTAATAATGTTGAAATAAAAAAGAATGAAATATACAAAATAAAAACCAAATATAAAAATATAATAAACTCAGTAAATACAGTAGCAACAGTTAAAGAAAAGAAACTTTTTTCTAGCTAATACATCTGTTAATAATTAGGTAAAGTAGCATAAGCTAAGCAAATAATTTAGAATTTAATTATAACAAAGAAAATGTATTTATTGCTGAAAACCTGAATCAAAACTCTGTAAATATAGAACAAGTTAATATTAGTTTTTTAGAAGGTTCTATAAATCCTATAACAGAAATTTCTAGAAAATGTTTTGAAAAATACACTAAATAATAACAATTAGAGTTTTATAATTATTTATTTTAATTTGATTTAATTAAATATTTGAGTTCTAATTAAATTCAAATCTAAAATTTTCAAATTAAATCAAATTCAAGTATGGTCAAATTGATTTGTTTTAACAATATTTGATTTAAAAATTTATAATTAAATATTCAAAATTATAAGTTATTTACTTAAAATTTTATTAAAACAATCTAATTTTTTTTTATTGTTACAATACTGGATAGAACTACCCTAGAATTCCCTATTTATAGGATAGCTGTTGGGTCATTCGCATAATGTTGGATGTTACTACATTCAAAAAAGGTATTGGATTTGGCGAGTATAAGGTAGGTATTTATTACAATATTCTATGTTCTATTCTATCTAAATGCATTACTTATATACTTTTTTCCTATCTGCTAAATACACTATTTATGCTATATACACTATATACACTATATCTACTTTATGTGCTATATCTGCTATATATGCTATATATGCTATATACACTATATATGCTATATATGCTATGTTTACTAATTATGCTATATACTCTATATCTACTAATTAAGCTATATATATGCTATATCTATTAATTAATATGTACTATTGTTTAATTATGCAATCGATCTTTAATAAATTATTGATGATCCTATTTTAGATCATAACATTATAAAGCTAAAGGTAATTTGTTTAAAAGAATACTTTTCTTTTTTTAATTATTAAGATAAGGTCTTGCTTATATCTTTATTAAATAATTTATAAAATAGTAACATATGAGCAATATATACATTTCTACTATTTGTACTAGTGCAAATAAAAAGAAAAATTCATACAAAAATAAAAGTTAGACCATTAAATAAATCTTA